AAAATACGGTATAAAATGACAGCCAAAAATTAAATTTCTAAACTAAAACAGTAGGTCTGTGGGTGTATATATATATATATATATATATATATATATATATATAGTTATTTATAACATGTTTTTATTTATTGTTATTCCTATTTCCCATCCCAGCAATAGAAATTACACACACAGAACATACAAATAAACTTCTAAGCTAAAGGGTGAGTAACACAGCTATATATCGGGTATGATGTAATAAAACTGGCAATTCCCATTTTATTCTTCACATGAATTAGTGTACAAACATGCAACTTCATCATGTATTACTAAGGCAGCAATCCTAAAACAAACTCACTGGGAAGTAAGCCCCACTGAACTCAACGAGACTGACTTTCAAACAAACTTGCATAGGCTTGTATTGTAAAAACATACAATGTCCAGCACACCACAACAGGCCACACTTAGGATGACCACCACTGCATGCATTTTCATAGTAAAACAATCCTAAATACAAATATTCTATCAACTGTCTAACTTTTATACTATACTAAGTATTCATCCATGACCTTATAAAAACTTCACATGGATTAGTTGATCAGATCCTGGGAAGCATTTTTCCCCCCCCCAGAGCCTAGCACCATACTCATTGTTACAAGCAACATTATGCCAGTTTTATTCTATTATTGCATTTCTCATTCTTCCATCTTAGCTCATCTGGACTGCTAAGCAACATGTCCTGAATGTCAGTGATCAATATGGTTTGTAAATTAAAAAAACGTTTTGTTGTGAACACTGGGAGACATCCAATACGTCTGTCTGCTTGCATAACAGATATCCACCTGCACAACAGGATTTCCCATTTCTCCTCTGCCTTTCCAGTCCTCATCTGCTCACAACAGATTTGAGTTGATATGGGGTACACAGAGGAGAGAAGGAAGACGCCTAGTTGCATGAACTCTCATGTGCCTTAAATACCACCACCCTGCACCAATACACACTTTACAAAGTGTCGTAGGTCTTACATCATTTCTATCATACACTTCACATACAGGAGAGACACATAAGTTCTAGACTACGTGGCATGAGACCTCGACAAAACTGAAAAGCCAATTCTATGGTAAGAGTTCTTATCTGAGGAATGATAGCCTGAAAAACTCCTTCATGGTAACAAATGACAAATGATCTCTTGAGGAGGGAAATGCCCATAATCTTGACTTTACTACCACCAATAGAGAAGTAGGGAGAAAACATTAAGACAGCTGGAAATAATTACAACTGTGAAAGCTAGGGAAATTACACCAAGTGTATTTCCTTGCTTAAAAATAAAAATGAGAGAGTCTTAAAACTTAACGCATTTGTGTACTCCTATGCCAGACATACTTTTAGACCCAATTCCCATTAGCTTGACAACATGTGGCATCAATACTTATCATTCTTCCATCCACGAAATCAAAACTCTAAAGTCAACGCTTCCCCCTGATTCAATACATTTCTTTCATTAACCAACCCTAGTCCTTAAATATGTTTTTTACTCTCCCATCTAAGGGCACTCTTCAATATCTCGTGCATAACCATCCAGTTCTCCAACCCCCCTCAGCCTGATCTACAATGAGATTTGCAACAGATCACTGTTCTTCTGACCCCGCTTTACTTCTAGGGTATCACTGGGAACAAAATATGCCTTTAATGCTACTCCAATCTAGACCCACCTCTTGCTTTTCCATTGGAAGGTCTACAGCAGAGGCGGTACTCCAAAGAACATTTGTTCCATTGGCTTCAAGTTATCACAAGCACAATATGAGCCTGCACCAATTGAGTACAACAAGGGCTGTTCAGTTGTTACAGTTTCACACTCTAGAGATTTTACCTTGCTCCAGCAACAGCTTTCATGTGTTACAAAGAGCATGCCTGAGAAAACATGGAAAATAATATACATAATTTCTGTATAGGTTTACAAACATTCAAACTAAGCAATGTTTGCCACCCTAGGAACATCTCCTGTTCAGTGTAGACTGAAAATCACACATGGACATCAAAAGGACTGATCTAAAACGTATGTCACATACAAAACAAGAAGGCTAGCCAGCAAGTTATGCTTCCGAAAAGTGGTTCTGCTGATAAGGTAAGCTGTGTATGGTGCAGTATCGTCACCTTATGTAGTACTTGCAAAGCCATCTCAAAGAGGAAATAAGCATTTCAAACTTGCCCCATGACTAACATGCATTGAAAAATTATCAAACTCCAAACGTATAAAGCCCAATGTGGAATCTTGCAAACCGCAAACAGCATTTAACCATTATAATCTCCCAAAAAGAACAATACAGACGTCTTGCATCTGAATTTCTGCATCTCTGCTATAACAGAAGATATATTCTTGTAAGAAATATACTATTTCCTCTGCAGAAGTGTTTATATACTTAGGCAGACTCACAGACATGAAAACTGAAATATAAGGCATTATTCTTCAATGTGCACAAGTCTACATGCTTAAATATTTTTCGCATAATTAGATGCATAC